TTCGTCAGGCGCGAGCTCTTCTTTCTTTTTTTTTTTTTTTTTTTTTAGTTCCTCTTATCTTTCTATACTTTCTGCATATATTTTTTTTTTCTTTTTTTTTTCTTTTTTTTTTTTTTTTTCGTCGTATCTTACGTCGATCGAGTAATATATAATTTAATAATTTAAGATATGTGTATGTTATGTATGTACTTGTATGTTAAGAGACTAATGATACTTGTCATTAGATGTACATACGAGAAAAGGGTGATAGGTACGAGCTCGAATAGGATTCCGGAGTGAAGACTAAGTTACCTAAATTGGAAGACTTAGGACTGGGCCGATGAGCATCGAGCTCGAATACAGGGAAACTTTCGTCCTGTGGGATAGGAACGATTCGCCCGGTGATCAAAAGAGAAAGAGAGAGAGAGAGAGAGAGAAGAGAGAGAAAATCGTTGAACAAAGTCGACTAGTTCGAGTATAGTCGAGAAAAAATTCATAGCGACTTTCGGATGCGTTAGAAGAACTTGGTGCGATAAATCCTGTCATCGGTATGCTTAGAAGATGTCGTATCTCATGTTTATGTATGTACGTTATCTATGTATATGTTTGAGCATCGACTCGTAAAAACCAACGAGAAAAAAGTTGCCGCCGGCAACGATGATAGACATTATTACGGATTCATCCAAACGATTCGATCGATTCAACGTATGAAAAAACCATTCCAATCCATTCGACGCCACGTTACCTTCCTTTCATCGACCAAACGCGTAACGCAAAAAGTGAAATAAAAAGAAGGAAAATGAAAATGGAAAAAGAAAAAAACAACGAAGTCGACGATTACGATGAATTGTGACATGGCACATAGTTATGCGAAATAAATGGATTTTTAAATCGATGTACTATTTTCACTTTCGACATTTTTCTTTCAACCTAATATAAATAAATTGAAAAAATTACTCTCATTTTCTCAATGAGATAAATTCTTCGAAGAAAAGTACTCTATAAATACCGTGTAATTATTACGAGTTAGTTTAATGACTTTATTCGTACATACAAATATCTAATACTTCACCGTTCTCATCTTTAACAGAAATTTCAGAGGAAAATTTGAAGATAAATTTCGTGCAGTAATGCGTGTTTAAGACACATTACCGAGTTGGTTCGCATGTTAATCAGCAATTAACGCGAACGAGGATTCAAAGAAAGATTAAAGAGAGAAAGAGAGAGAGAGAGAGAGAGAGAGAATGATGAACTATTAAAAACTGGCTTCCATAAAAATGGAGATACGAGAGAAGGCACGATTAAGGAGTTTCGATGGGGTCTTGTCCTCGATCTGTCGAGCGACTAAATCATTTATCACTTCTCATTTTCCCTCGTTAACGGAGGCTGATTTACGAGTCGATATACATACATCGAATCGCCAAACATTCCAACCGACACGTGTCTAAACCGAGCGCTATCGTAGCTTTTTTTTTTATTTTCCTTCGGTAAACATTTGACGCTTCAACAAAGATTCGATCGAACCAATTCGAAAGATCAATCACTATACGATTCAAACGATCTTTATTATTAGTCCTAAATTAAATCATTCCACGTGTAATAATTTGAATCCCTTGTATATATCAATATTATTATAGATCTTTTTAATAATAGATCATAAAAATTAATTAATATCTGATAATTAATATCATCGTTAAATATAATATATTCTTTTTAATAATATATCGTAAAAATTAATTAAAATCTGATAATTAATATCATCATTAAATATAAAATATTTTATCAATTTTTGTTCAATATTCCCGAAATTAATACTCTACCAAGGATTTCAAAGGATTCAAAGAAAAATCGATATAACTTTGATCGATTTGTTTTTTCCTTTTTGAATAATTTTTATGAAGTAATAAGAGACAAGTTTAGATCAACATCTCTAAAATTCCATTTATTACGAAAATAAATATAAATAAATTTAAGAACGTAAAGGATTGTATTACACAAGAAACACAAATTTACAACGATCGATTTCCCTTCAGGAAGAACGATTTACGAGTCGATGCTTTAGTCAAACTTTCAAGAACGATCTTATCAAGTATCCAAGGATTAGTTTATCCATTCTACAAGACGCAATCCAAATTGGACTCTCTCAAGAGCAACGTCAGACGACGTGAACGGATTGCTCTAAACGTTAGAGAGAAAGAGAAAGAGATACGTACTTCGAATTTGGAGATTCAAAGGGAAGACAAAGATAGGGATAAACCCGAGTTAATCGACGAGAAAACGTTCGCCGCGATCGAAGGTATAAATCAAAGGACGTCGAAACTATACTCTCATGAGAGTGACCTATTAAACTCCATCATCGTTGTTGTCGAAGGTAAGCGTACCGGATCTCCGTGGCAAAGTTTAACGAAGGGAGGAGAAACTTCGGCACGCATAGAGAAGCTCCGACTGTCTTCCTTATCACATAATTTCGAAGAACTTTAGCACTGGCTAGTCCCTACAAGCTTGCTTTCTCCTTGCTTCGTTCTTATTTATTTTTCCAATTAAAACTTTGCTTTCTATAAAAGAGTTCTCTTTTCTAGAAAGAGTTTCTCGGTAGAACAAAAGGAGATAGATATCTTATTCGAGTAGCGTACGATAATATATGTGTATATAATTCATATATATATATATATATATATATATATATATATATATATATCACGCTTAAATGTAACATTTTAATTCAAAAAACTCATTAAATTGAAGTTATCTGAACTTCAATCTCGTTCATTCTCTTTTTATCTTCTTTTGTTTTCCTCTTTATAGATTCGTCGCGTGAATCCGGTACGTTCGCATTCGAATCTATGTTGAATATCTACGACACTGATTTAGAATTCGGTACGAAGTCAATTGAATTCGTGGAATAATTAATTTCTAAAGTAGATCCCACTCCCAATTTCATCAGTGAACTAGGAGTGGCAACAATGAATAGAATTTTTTTTATTTATTTTATGCATATATATATATATATATATATATACATATATATATATATATATATATATAATATATATATTGTATTAATTTGTGTATACGAGTGTTGAATAATCTAACTAATCTACGATAAGTTTGATAAATCCGTCTCCGATGATTATTCTCATAAGGGAATTCGCTAGAGAAACGATGAAACGATTTTCACAATTTCGATTTCAGCAAGAAAAATCGTAACGATTAGGAAATGTTCTTTACTAGTAAAAGCGAAAAATATTATTTCTTTCGAGAGCATCAATTCATAACGCGAACTCTCAGGGCAGTGCTTAGAGAAACGGCTGATCGTGAATCGAGTCTGAGAAATCGATGAGACGATTCATTCATTTATTTTGTTCTAACCATAGTGAATGAGATGTCTGTTCATCGCCCATCTTTTTTTTTTTTTTTTTAATTAGATTAAACGTCTCTTTAAATTTATTTAAACTAAAATTACTGTTAATGAGTATGTATTGTGCTGAAATTTTATTTTGGCCTTTTAAGAATCTTCGTCGCATTCAATATCTCATTTGAAATGTCTAACAAAAAATCATTATAAATATATCAAATTTTATATTCCAACAGTTCGATAATAAACAGAAAATAATAATCATAATAAAATGAAAATACATGAAGTATTATTAAAAATATTTACGTTGAATATATAAATATATATATATACATATATATATTTATATTTATAAATTATTTCAACTACAACTCAATTTTCTAATAGAAAATAATATTATATATCAATCGATAATAGTTCATTGTTTAATTCAATACGAAGATAAAACGTACGATATTGATAGAAAATCAAATAAATGAATGCACATGAATTAGAGCAAAATATCAAAAATAATATGAATCGGGAAACAATTTATTTTAACAAATTATATTTAAAAGAAAAAAAGATGCGCGATACCAGTTCATTTTCTGTACACATATGTATTCACACATATATGTCTATATATAGCAAAAATCGTTCATCGAGTATTACGTGGTCGACCGATTAACGACCACCATGGTCATATCATTGAAAATAGAACGCAATCGAAGAGAAGGATGTAGTGACCACGTGCGACGCAGTAGAGAAAGATAGAAACGGCGTGTGAGGGAAAGAGAGAAATAGATGACAGAGAGATTCACCGAATAGTGACGCTCGATTTTGGCATCCCCAAAAGCGACGACAACGAAATTTTGTCGTCGCACTTGGTTTCCGTCATATGGCGTAAATTTACGCGCGTTTATCAAATCACCAGTATGATCATCGTGCTGTTGGAACTTCTCCATCAACTTGATTTTGCAACTAATCCGTAAAATTCGTGTCACCGAGTTTAGAATCTCGTTGAGCCTTTATATCTCACTATGACGATAATTAACGGATATGTTCTCATTCGAAAAAAATTCAATAACCTAATGAGAAATCTAAAATTATTTCAATATCATCAATGAATCTAGGATTAATGAATAATATCCTTTATCAAGAGAAAAACAGCCAACGATGAAAGTTAAAATTTCGGAAGAAAATTGATGAACAAACGATCGAATACTTTTCTCGAACATAAGAAAACTGCGCCGCTTCCTTTTGTCTCATCCTGATCGTAAGTCTCTATTATTAATTCTTCGCGAGGACATTAAAGATGATAATTATTCAAGGATCAGCCTATAATCTCGTGTATTTCGTACCTTGTGAGAAGGAAGGGAACGCATACGTTAGAATGAGGGATCTATTTTCTTTTTTGCTTCATTTAAAGAGAAGTATCCGTAGACTCCCATTGAGCTAGCTCGGCTCACACCCTTGTCTCGTTGTACGGGCTCGAAGTGCTCGTGCCTTGACGACGTCTGTCCTCGCCTGGAAAATTGAACGCGACATTCGGCACAGTAGTAGGATCTACTAACTGGCTAGCCTGCGGATTCTGGCAAGTCGTCTGCGATTGGTGAGAGTGGGAGGAAGATGAGGGTGGACCCTCGCTTATCGAGGTCGTTGAGGCGAGTATACGCCGACCGCGTACCTGGTAACGCTGAGGGTAGCAGCGACCGCAACAGGACTGCAGGAGGCCGCCTCTCGAGGCAGTGCTATGGGCAGGTGACGTCAATGGTGACGGCGAACCTGGCCTCTTTGGGGCACCATTATAGGGCACCTCCATTTCCACGAACTCACGATCCTAAAATCATAATAAAGTTTTTCATTTTTAATCCCTTCATTTCCTTTTCTTGAACTCAAATATATAGAGAAATATATATCTCATTTAAATACACCCTAACATCCAAATAGTTCCCCTTGGCTTCACTGATATGAAAAAAATATTACAGAATTGTTCGATTGAACAAATTCAATGATGATATATAAAATCTTTTTAAACAAATATGTAATGTTGGTTGTTGCTTTTCAATTCGTTCATTTATCTTGATTAACGTACGTTGTACGATACGTAAAAATAAGAATAGATATGTGTATTAACAAATAGAAAAAGTATATTCAACAATTGCAAAACATAATCCAGAATATGATCGATCCTATCTTATTTCTTTTTTTTTTTTTTTTTTTTTTTTTTTTTTTTTTTTTTTTTTTTTTTTTTTTTTTTTTTTTTTTGAAAAATTCATTGTCGATCAGATAGTTCTTTGTCTCATCATGATTTAATCGTTAACTTGTAAAATTTTTCGATAAGATGTGAGAATAAATTTCACAAAGTTGACTCATTGATATGGAAAGGAAATGTAAGATTTTATTAAATGTTCTAACAACGTCGCTCCTTTGAAAAAGGGATCGTGGTTGATGGAATTTTTAACGATATTAACTACTGTGCTCGTCGCGAAGAAAAGATAGGAATGACGTAACTTTTGAACTTTTAGAATTTTCGCAATTCATTGGAAATTACAAACACTTTATCTCCGTGTAAATCGATATCATTCTGTGGTAAGCTGAATCATCATTTCTAACTTTGGAAGATTAATATATAATAATAGTTTTCTAAAATAATGTACTTTATATTCCACGAATCGCACATTATAAAATATAGATAATCTTCCTAAACGTAGTAAGTCGGCGATATTGATCTGTAAGCAATGTTTGAAATCGAAAATATAATGAGGAAAAAATTTCATTCAAAAGTTACGAGATTTTTATCGTCGATCAAACTCCGAGTATTTAGAATAGTTGATGCCACGATGTAAGGGAAATTGCTGGCCAGCTTGAATTATGTCCTTGCAGCAAATCATGTAGCACGTCCTCATGTAAAACAGCTGTTTCCCGTTATTACACGAAATTACGTATACATACCTAAACACAACGGGATAATTTCATGGCGAAACGAAGCCAAGGCTACTCTTTTACCAGAGAGAAGGAAAAAGAAAGAGAAATAGAGAAAATTATAAAAAGTTACGAATTCGAAGATACTTTTTATCTGATGAAAGATAACATATCGAACACATTAATCTCGTTTGATGTTTAAACATGAGAATTTTGTCATTAACATAAAAACGATCGAGAGATAAGAAGATAGAAATTTCCTTTCTTGAAAGACCCATGGATGGCTTTTAACGTCGTCCGCTCAGTCTGTTCAGAAAAGAACATATTTTTGAAACATTTTGCTGACGAGATTGTAGCACTTTTCCATTCTGCGGAATCAAATCTTTACCAGGAGCTCGGAAGGCTGAGAAGGATATGATTCTCGCTTGAACGATGTCGAGATCACTTGATAACTTCTCGTATTTTCGCATTGGAGCTTTCTCATAGGATTTCTACGAGTATCTAAGGTATTTCGTTCTCTCTCTCTCTCACCTCTTTTTCTCTCTTTTTCTCTCACTATCTCTTCCTCTTTCTCTCTCTTTCTCTCTCTCTCTCTCTCGTTCGTTCGAGTTCACTATCGGAATAAGTGATGAACTTTTCAAATTCCAAAGAAATAATTTTACATATCTACATTCGAATGGTACTGCGTCTATGGAAAAAAAAAAAAAAAAAAGAAAAGAAAAAAATTTCAAGTAATGCCATTAGTCGTACATTTAATCGGAACTAACGTATCGAACTACAAAAATTAAATCCGATAGCGTGGCTTTCTAATAAAATCGATCGGTAAGTTTTTTATCTTGAGTTTACAGCAACGAAGGAACGTGTACCGACGTAGCTATCCTGCCCTTAACCTCCAGTTAATATTGATCCTCATCGTGGCGAAGAAAAGTATTATTTCCGCCTTTAAATTCCGTCCTCGTGAAAATATATTCATGAATTTCCTTTCTCCGAGTAGCGTTAAGATATTCAAATGTCTTCTCTATGTACAGGGCGTTTCATCGTACGCATTGTTAATTCTTATTAACGATATCACAATGTCCTTTTTTTTCATTTCTTTTTCCTTTTTTTCTTCTTTTTTTTTTTTTTTTTTTCTTCTTTAAACGTCAATCTTATAAAGAAAAGCTTTTATGATAGGTAAACAAAGCCTTTCTCTATCTCAAGTGGTAACTTCGATTTTTTTAAACGGTATGTATTTTTACTTATTAAATATTAAATTAATCCTTATTAAATTAAACTAGTTTTGATTTAAATGTTTCTAAAAATTTCACTTCTATCAAAATTTATAACAATTTGAATTCTTTGCAATAAGAAATTGCTTCTCAATCCAATAACAATGTCAATAATCCAATAACAATTTCAATAAAATATATTGTCAAAACGATATGCTTTACATCTATTTAGAATCAACCATTTAAGATTAACAAAAGTAATTTATTTTATGAGAATTCGTGGTACCAGTATTGTAAAGTGTAAATTCGTCTGAGGAAAAAATTGTTTCCAAAAAATTGTTATGAGTTAATTTTTATTACATTCAATTGCAAAGCTTGACACATTGAATAACATCTATCATTCATAATTCTCGACAGAATACTCGATAGCCATTAAAGTTATGCTTCATTAAAATCGACGAAACAGATACTGCTGTCTAATTTCATTATTTCTACTTATTTGTCTCGTGTTTGTATACAAATTGATTGCAATTTTAGCCAGTACAATAATAGTGTCATTGTCATTTGATCATGATGTCAATTGTTATTTTTTTTTTTTTTACTTTATTTACATAACATGAAAAGTAACGAGCACTTAAATTTCATAAATATATTACGAGATATCAAATTATGATACCTATGATGAAACATCCTGTATAAAGAGAGAAAGAGAGAGAGAAAGAGAAAGAGAAAGAGGTAAATTCGATATCGGCAATCTGCGGAATTATTCACGCATACAGTATTCTCAGCCCTTCTGCCGATAGGAGCTACGAATTTCATTCTCAAAAGAAGTCGGATTAAACTCGTTTTATCGCGGTAGACTTCACTCTTTCCGTCTCGATTTCTCCGTCTCGTGTTAAGGAAAAAGAAAAAAGTACGAGTAAGAAAAAGAAAGATATATATATTTTTATATATATATATATATATATAGAAAGATAGAGAGAGAGAGAGAAAATAATAGAGAAAAAGAGATATTCGAACGTAGAAATAGAACACTCAGTTTCAGGAATAACAACGGTCTGATCGGAAAAAATTTTATCTCTCTCTCTCTCTCTCTCTCTCTCTCTCTCTCTCTCTCTCTCTCTCTCTCTCTCTTCTTTCTCTCTATTCTACTCGTTATTTTTTTCTTACTTCGCATTCACGTATTTTCACGTATTTTCTATACAAATTCGAATTCGACAAATTTTTTTCGGAGAACGATTCGACGAAGTCGTAAACAAGCGGAACAACGAATGCACACGAGTAAGAAAATCAACGGAAATACGTATACGGATATATGGCATCGTTAAAAATTTCGTCGAATAAAACAAGAAACGAGAATTTGTTTACGAGATCCAAGCAATTGTCGACGTGTGACATCGAGCTATTAAAAAAAATTGCGAACTAGAAGACGTAAAGATGTGACATTCGTAAATTCAAGAGAGCCTTCGTTGTGGCTCGTAAATAACTGGTTACATCGAGTTGTTTCCGGCAGCGTGACCCTAGTCATAGAAAAATGTCGTACTTGCCATGACCTTTTACACGCTTGTGACGCTTCTTCTCAGTCTATCCGTCTCTCTTTCTCTCTCTTTCTCTCTCTCTCTCTCTCTCTCTCTTTCTCTCTCTTTCTGTCCCTCTATTGATAGGAGAACTTTTAAATACCTCATTTCAAACGATGAATCACGAAAGACCTAGACAATTTTATATTTCAACCAATGACACTCATTTTCCATTCGAGAGTGTGAATCGTGAATGTTCAGACTGTGAACACACACACACATATACAATATTCTTGAACAATACACCGTTATCTTTTATATACTATTGCGAGTTTAAAATTTCTAAATCTATATTCATCAATAATAACAATTATTAATGATAATATCAATTCAATTAACAAATAGCATCAATTAATAATCATTTATTGATGTTTATTGAATAAACATTTATTAATTGATATTATTTGTTAACTGAATATTTATAATTTTTTTTTTTCCCCCATAGAATAAGAAGTCATTTCACCGTCCATAAAACGATATTATTTAATAAATATATTTACTTTAGCATAAAAATTTAAAAATCCTTTTCAGCACTGAACAGGGCTTTAAATTTCACCTTGATGTTCATTAAAACTCATTAAAGTTAATACCTTCCTTTGACTTTTGGAAAAAGGCTTTCATTTTTTAAATCACTTTAATAATGTAAACAAGCATGAACACTTTTCTAAGATGGCCAAAGATTTCAAAGAAACGGATGTCGAACAGAAAAAGATACGATTGATGGATTCACGTTAGAACGTTCGTCATACGTAAATACAGATGCACTATCCAAAAATGGCTGCAGGAGTGAATTTAATATCGGCCAACCGGAAATAAATGTTCAGGGTAGAAAAGGTTGGAAGGAAAAACGGAAAAAAGAAAAGGGAATGGAAAGAATTGGAACGGAGAAATGAACTGGACAACGGGCTACGGTTTTATCGGGGCAGAAAAATAAGGACGAACTGAGAGAACGAGCAACAAAGCCTGCTTCAGAATCTCGACTCGATTCTGATTAATACGGTTCAGCTTAGCCTTTATTTCGAAGAGTAAAAGTATAAAAAGACGTACAAAGATAGGCGTTGAATCATACGAAAGACGATCGTATTAAAAATATCTTAAATCGTGATTAAAAAATATCTTAATTATTGACAATCGTAAATATTGTTTGAATGAACGATCTTCGTAATTTGACTAAATAAGCATAATCATTTCGTCGTTTTATCATATTTTTTTCTTTTTCTTTTTTTCTTCTTTTTTCTTTTTTTTTTTTTTTTTTTTTTTTTTTTTTTTTTTTTTTTTTTTTGACGCCTTTGCTAGACATTTTTATATTTTTATTAATTCGAAACGAAATATATCTTTGGGCAAGAGATAATAAATTGAAGAGAGATCGATTAAATGTATATTAACTTAACAAAACGATCTCGCATTCTAATTACGTAGAGTAGGTGTTAGAAAAATCGGTGGGACACTTTTAACTGAGGCAAAACGGGAGTTGTCAAAGGCCCGTGCTTTCCCTCAACACGAGGTAACTTTGAAGCGGCCTTTACAACGACAAAGTCATTCAAAGACCCTCCTCCTCCGTTTGTCTTCTGTGCTATGATGATAACCGAACGAAGCCGAAGCAAGTCGAGCCAAGCCGAGCCGATTGAAGCGGAACTTAAAACCGATCGCAACGTGCTTCTTCCACGACGATTGCGTTCGATATGCCACGCCAGATGGAAAATTCGTGTCCCGTGACATGACGACGACTACAACAACGACAACGAAGGGATCTCCCCGGCTTTATTGTTGGATATCCTCTTTACATCACGCCTTGCTATAATTAGCTTCGAGAATGACGTTTCCCACTATCGACGATGAGAGAAAATCTGAGAATTCTCTGATAATATTCGATCGAGCGCGAGCATGACCCGGAAGAAATCAATACACGACCTAAAGATACCGATTGGTCGTATCTGCTAGGTCGACGAGTGCAAGAGAAATAGAAAGAGAGAGAGAGAGAGAGAGTTTATCGAAAGGATACGCTACATTCTCCTTTTAACGAACCCAGATTTACCAATATCGTCGCTCCCAATATCGATTGGTTATCTAAACTATTATTCAAACAATTACGCGCACGCGCGTAACATAGATATATGGTTTATTAAAAATGACCTATCCTATCAAATGTTCCTAGCACACGTGCTCTTTTATTATTTCATAAAAATTCATTTTTATAAGGCACTCATATTCCGAATATGACATACACGTAACCAATGCAAAATCGGACGAATTCTTTTCAAATATTTCAGGAATCTTTCCGATAACTTTTATACCTTTATATTTGACAAGTTTGTAAACTTAAAAGGGAAAAGTTCATGTATATACTTGTGAAATAATATTGGAACTACACGACACGTATCTCTATTATTTCACAAATTCCTCTTTCTTCTCTTTATCGTTTATTCTTGCTTTCGTTGATTTAAAAAAAGAAAAAAAAAGAAAACTTTATTATCTGTTTTCGAAAAAGTTCGACAAAGACTGAAAAAGAAAAATGACAGAAATAGAGACAGATAACGAGATCATAGGCTTTGAATCTTGTTAAGCATTCTTGAAGCGAAGGCCGTGCCACAGTTAAAGGGTTGCAAACACGTTTGTGGCTCGTCGGTGGCCCATTCTGGAGTAGTAATGATCGATCGAACGATCGAACGATCGAGAACTCGATTTACGATCGTTTACCGCTTCGTCCCTGTGACGATGCAATGATGAAAGCATTGAAGTGTCGTTATCTCTCATCGTAAAATCGTTTTGAAGAAACGTGAGGTGAAAGAAGGAATAACATTATTTGGAACAAATTTCTAAATATGTCCTGTTAAATATCTACGACATGATCAATTCAATTCTATTAATATTCATCGTTAGAATGAACTTACAATTAAAATAAGAAATACATGGGAAAGAAAAATTTTTAAATTTCATACGAAGAAAAAATTGAACGAACGTCACGTCAGAAATATTATTCATTCGATCTGTTAATATTTATATTTTAAAGATCGAAAAGAAAAAAGAAACGTACTGTATAAAATGACACAAAACAGCACGTTAGAATATTGCACGTAACAAAAAGTTTCTAAGAATGTCAATTCACATTAACTGAACAAAGAAAGAATGAAAAAATTGAATTCGATGCATTCAATTGTAAAAACCAAAAAAAAAAAAAAAAAAAAAAAGAAAAAAAGAAGAAATGGCATTCTATTGAGGGAAGAAGAGTTGTCGGAAATACGTAGAGAAATTTTTTTCGCTCCGAAAATGTCAAACAATAAAAATAGACACGTAGAAATGGATGATAGAGGTGGGTGGACCTCCCGCGTGAGTTTCGAGAGAGACAGTTAAACGTCGGCAGGAAACATCGGAATGCTGAAACGCACCGACCGTATACAACGAAGCTCAGAATGTAAGAGAGGAAGTGGAACGACGCGCCTCCAGGCCGTGTGCTCGGTTTCTGACGCTTCAACAATGGTACCCGGAATCGCATTGCTTTCTGGGTTAAGTACACGAGACGACTAGGAAAAAGAAGTGGAAATAGGAAAAGAAAACGTGGTAGTTGGACGCAAAAACGTGCGAATAGTTACACAAAGCTATAAGTATCTTGATAAACAAATAAATAAAACAGATGAATATGATAAACTAAATGATAAACAAATATGATAAACAAATAAATAGTCTGGTAGAATAATGAACATTACATAATTGGATGTATCATAATAAATTCATTTAAATCATTCTCTCTCTCTCTCTCTTTCTCTCTCTCTCTCTCTCTTTCTCTCTTTCTCTCTCTCTCTCTCTCTCTCTTTCTCTCTTTCTCTCTTTCTCTCTCTCTTTCTCTCTCTTTCTATATCTATCTCGAATTTGTAATTAGATAAAATTAGTTAATTATTTATAAATTATCCGAATAATTTCGTATTTTTCGGACGAGCCATGAAATAAAATAAACTCAAACAAAAAATCTTTATCTCATTCGTGCGGAAATAGGTAGATATTTTAATAATGCTGAGAAAAGAAGATAGTACCGACGGGAATGATTTTAATATATTCATACAGTTTAAGTGCAGAAAAAGAAAAAAAAATCCGCTACCACTTTTATTCATTCGAGGGAACGATAATTGAGAAATAAATGTCTTTGTTTTTATATAAATAGTATAACTTAAAACCCTCATAAATAATTCCAAATCGTAAGGGACGTATTGATCGATAATAAATTACTCTTGGAACCACGAAAGATAATAGAAAGGAGTCTAATAGTAAGATCAAAAATAGAATAATATTTGAAACATGAATTCGCGCTAAATATTGAATTAACTATTTAATATAACTATAATTATAACGTTTGTAATGAAATTATTTATTGTACATGTTAACAATTATATTATCTTTAAACATCAAGTATAATACATTTTATACAAATAATATAATTAAATGAAGAAGAAGCGTGATTAAACATCTCCAAAGATACGTGTTCTTTTTATTATCTTCTCGTCTTAAAAAATCGAAAGAAGTCAACGTGCTCGATAAAGTAATCATATATTATTGGATACTTCAAACAAAGACGAGGCATTATCGATGAGAGACAAATAGAGAGAAGAAAGAGGAGACCCTTGGAGCTTGTTGCGTCCCTTCGATAAGCACGTACGTGAACATCAATAAGTGCCCTCGACTTATGGTGTACTCGATGAACATGGGCAAATGAAAAAAAAAAAAAAAAAAGAAAGAAAGAAAAAGAAAAAAGCTACTAAACCTTGTCCATTGCAGAAACTCTGCATTTGTTTGTTACGACCAATCGTAAAGACAATTGCTCCGTTATTTTTTTTTTTCTATTCCTTCTATTTTTTTTTTTTTTCTATTTATCTTCTTACGGTTAGCCAATTTACGTTAGGAAAATCCTTGATAAGTTTGTCAGTAATGTTTAAAGGATAGACGACTTACTTCAAAACGATTACTCTAAGCTTATGCCCGAAGGCAATCTTGTCCGTTTCGGTACGCCCTGTATAGCAAAATTAAAAGTCAGTAACACAGATGCACTTCCGAGTGATCCTGCATTGGTTCATATGTGCTGACGATTTTTTGCGATACTCGTTGGCGATTCCTGATTCTGAAAGAGTTTCCCACTCGATCTCCATCGAGTTGATTGAAGGAGGATAAACGTACATAGGAGAAAACCCGGGCAAAGCGAATGCCCTGGGCAAAACGGATATATTTTTTTTTCGCGTGATACAAAAGAATATAATTAATACTAAGAAGAAAAGAGAAAAAGAGAGAGAGAAAAAGAGAGAGAGAGAGAGAGAGAGAGAGAGAAAGATAAAGAAAATCATGATTTTTAAACAGATTTAAGTGGAATAAGAATTTGCATAACTATGTGTATGTGAATTTATCCCACTTGTGTTATTACTACATTGCAACGATTGGCCAAAGGCACGCATGTTGTATCTGGTATGTTGGTCACAGTATGTACACTTTAGCTTTACATATCTTTCCACCTAGAAATGTGTATGTATATACATTCGTATACGTATTAGAAGCGAAAATAGAGTTCGAATTGAGCGGGTTATGTACTCGCACTTTCAACGAGATCACGTATACATACGTATATATGGAGTACGTATAAAAGGAAAGTGTGTATACTTAACACGATACCCCTTACAAAGGCAGTTGGTTAAAATTAGACGAGAACGGAAAGCGGTTTATTCAAATTACTCGGCACATCGATATCTATACGCAAAACTGCTTGACGGATTTTAAAAGATTTTTTTCTAACGGCGGTTTTTCTTTGACGAAACATAAAATATACGATAAAAGGAAAGAAATACTTATATTAAAAAAATCTTTTCCTAAAAGAAATATTATAAATTATACGTTTGTCTAACTTATTCGAAAGAACGATCAATATTTAATATATATCAGATAATGATTTAATTGCTAGATACAATGAAGATATATATATATATATACTTTGTTAAAAACAAATTTAAGAAAAAGAATAGAAATGAAAATAAAAAGAAATTAAATATTACATCTAAATATGATTTAAATATTATTTTACTCACCGTCGTCTTCTCTAAACAACGAAGTAAATGATGATGTTGTAATTCGAAAATATCCTCCTCCTTGTAGTTCTCGTCCAACTGCAAGCCACTCTCCTGCGCAGCCAATCGTGCTTCGGCCGCTTTCTTTTTGCTGACAAAGGCCGCACCGCTTGATGCTTTAGCGATTCTGATGCGAGCCAACCTCGCTTTCTGATGGAAAAGAAAATTCGTGTCACTCGTTGATAAACAACTTGTTTATATTTGTTTCGAATAATTTCAAACGAAAAAAAAAGATAAGTCAAGAAGATCGAGATATAGAAATGATTTACGAAAAACGAACCAAGTACCCTTCGTGAAATCTTAGAGCAAAAATATATACAAATATACATATATATATATATGTGTGTGTGTGTGTATATGTGTGTGTTTGTATAAACGTATGGGTATGATTTTTTTCGAGCATATAAAGCGATCGGCACATTTTACACTGTCAATTCACAAAGACTCTTTATACTACCATCTCCATTAAATGTGTTATATCCTTCCAATATATCGGATCATCGACGAAAGATATTTGAGATTTATTGATTACTATTTAACGTACGTTAGAACGATCATACATTTTAAAGCCTAAAATTTCCATTCGAGCATCGACAATTTGTTCCTTGAAACTTAAAATTAATACGATAGTTGTTCTGTTTTTCATTTATAAAAATTATCAAGAAGATAAGTTCAATGGATCATCTTATACAAGCTTCTAGATAAAACTTATCTACCTAATATTTTCAATATATTTAAAAAAAAAAAAGTTAGTTATTTGTTGTAGTAGAAAAAAAAAAAAAGAAAAAGAAAGAAAGAAAAACATATAAATTATAATTTTATTCGTACCCGGTCACATAATTCAACTTGTTTTATGCGAGAGTTGAATGACTTGATTCAATTGATTTCATTTTATGACTCTAAGAACAGCAGAACTCTATTGTATATACCGAGTTCATTCGCTTTCTCTCGTTCTGTAAATCCATAGAAAATTAAATTTTTTTTTTTTTATTTTTTTTTATTTCTTTTTCCAAAAGATACATCTCTCTGCGAAGACGTAAACAGAACTTTCCTTTCTTTCTCGTTTGATTGAAAGCTTTTCGTTTTCTGTCTTTTCCACTCTCTACGAAGGATTGATCCTGAATAAATCTTTCTTTCTTCTAAAAATGTATGTGAAGAGTAGACCTCGTATTTTATATAAATATGAGACGAATGAAAGATGGTGACCTACATAAATAACAAGATCCGTGTAGATCTTTTTAACCAGAAGATAAATATTTATTCCTACGTATTTGGGATACAAGTAAACTACTCGTCCAGAGGTCATCAGTTAGAGGACTTCTTTTATGTAACCGTATAAATACTAAATTGTTTATTTTAATTACATACTACGTAGAAATGTTTGCGAGAATATTTTAACTGCGTTACAATGATTACTACTCAATAATACAAAATCTATAACAATTTATCGAATTGTTTAATAATATTCAGTGATGGAAAATTATTAATGAACACCTAATAGCATTCTAACCTCTTACTCTTATTCGTATATTACTCTTATCTGTAGTTATGTTCAGTATTCTAAATGGAATTTTCGTACTAACTTTGAACCTATATTTTGTCTACGTACGTATTTTAATGTATAGAAAATACTCAACGTGCTAAGCATCTTTCACTATTACATGAAATTTCTCTTTACATCACATCTATTCTAAATATGACACGTTTTCCTACACGAAATTAATATATCCTTACGAATTAAACTTAATAAGGAAGAGTAAATTTTAGAAAAAAAAAACAAAAAAAGAAAACGCAAATCACAAAAAAAATGTGCTCCCGACAACGAGATTGAAAATTACGTTATTTCGTTAATTTAAAATAATTACATTAACTTTCGATTAACGAAAGTTATTATATTTTAAAGCTAAACAATTAAAAATTCTATTAGAGGCAATCGAAATTATTCAATTCGTCTCTAATAAATTCTTAGAATTATCAAAGCATACGAATTTAACACAAAGTAAAACTATACAATATTTAAATACATTGTTATAAAGACACGAAATGTAAATCAACTATTATTTCTTGTAACTAATGCTTTTATTTATTGATCTTTTCATTGAAATTTATTCAATTCTGCAAATACACAAAAAAAAACACTATTGAGACAATAAATGTACTATTGATCGATTTCTCTATTTAAGAGATATACTACATCTTGTATAAATCGAATATATTCATTTAACAAAGATAAAGATATAGAAAACTTTATCGTCATACTTTTAACATTACAATTTTACTCTTATTAGAAACTTTTAATCTTTGAGATGTGACAAAAGAAATCGAAGAAAAGTTTTAAATAAAGTCTGCAAAGTTAAGCTTTCAATATGTTCACAAATGTGTTCACATTCTTTTCTCGGATTTAATACTGCTCTGGATTTAATCCATACCACTTGATAACTGGAGATCGACTAAAGATTTTCTCGTGAACTCAATAGTCCTTCGATCGATATTGCCGAGGTAAGGAAAACGGCGCACGCATGTCTCCTAAATTTCGTGTGATACAAACACGTACACATGTCACTTTGAACGCAAACATACGACGTAGACGTTCAATGTGACATGTCTCTGCGTATAAACAAATCTTTTCCATTTGAAATTTTTGTCTTACCTTTTCATACATTTTTACAATTTCATCTCGCAAAATTTAAGAAAAATTACATTAATATGATACGTGCTCAGATATATATTTGTGATATTTCTTTTGTAATTTCAGTTAGACAAATTTTATAAACCATACTAAGAAAAGGAAAAAGAGATAAAATATACAGATAGTTCTCACTTTTATGTTTGAATTTATTCCAATTTATATTTCATAAAGTAATTTCCCATAAATGAAATCGTATCTTTTGCTTCTGACAATTAATTATATTACTATAATTATATTACCTATTGAAATACGTAATAATTTTGAAACGTTCATCGATTGATACCGTAATAAAAATTGTATAAAAATTTCTCAATGCTGAAAATTCATAAAGCGACATATATATACTTAAGTATATATATAATACATTCAAGAGCATAATCGTGGATATACGCAAAAGAATAGAAGAGATAGATCGAATAGCTTTGTGACAAACTTCCATGATATCATAGAAGCAGTTAGGCTGTTAATCGTGCTCGAATAGAAAGGAAAGAAGATATCTCATGGAAAGGACACGAAAGCTCGCGGGACAATGGCTCGTTAGATTTCGCGTGCAGGTCCATTTCGTATCGTGTCGCATGTTAAAATGGAAGAAGAGTACGGGGTAAAGAGGAGAAGGGAGGAGTGGGGCTGGCGCTAGCGATCACATAAAGTGGACTGCACAAAATGCATCAACCGCAGGCCCTCGATTCAAGAATCGCACGAGCTCGGCAAAAGGAGTCGTTACACCAACAATGACTTATTGTTCGCTGTCCCGTTGATGAATTTGCTGTTTTCTTTTTTTCTATCGCCATTCTCCTTTACCCTCCATCAACCAACCTCTTTTACAAATTCACCGACACTTTCACTTCTATATATCTCTTGTCCAGAACACTCATCCTCGCTTGATCGATTAAGCTTTTAACGAAGATTTTCGGTAGGGGAAATTACTATGCCGTACCATTAAAGCTTGTGCGCCGCAAATACGTGACGCTCGTGTAATGCCATTTTAAATGCAGCCGAATCGCGCGTCGCGCGCACGTACCCTACTTTCAACCAACCCAGTCGCCAACTCCCATTTCCGGAATGATTATATACAAAGGATGAGCAATTTCGTAACCAACTGGTCTATCTACCCTTATCGTTCGTTCTCCCTTTCGTTATGTGTCTATTTATTCTTTCACTCTCATCTACATCATTCAATTATTTTCAAAATGATTTCATAAATGTTTATATACTTATCGAGAGAAAAAATGTCATTGGAATCTTCGTAATAAATTTTAAAGACAATCTCATAATTATATGAAAATTTCTCAATTTATATCCGATAGAGAATAATATTTATTACAAGGTACAGGTAAGATTAATATTATGATTAAGATGAGATATTGAAAATAATATGTCTTACAAAGAATTATACAATATCAAGAAGACGATCAAGTCAGTGTTAATATAACGTCATACTATCGATGTACTTGCGATGTACAAATAGCGATTAGTTTGTACTGACATTGAAATCAAACACATGCTAATTAGGACTGTGTTTAGAATTCTAACGTCGGTATATGCGTTATGTAAATAAACCAAGCAAATGCTCTACTTGCCAGATTAGAGCAAGTGATTAGTAACTTATATAATAATTTTTCTCAACGTATTAATATTAATATTCCTTTTTAATTATTATAATATACGTATATCATAATATCTATTATAATAATTAAAAATTAACATGGAACATTGGAATTTCCATAGCTTCGAAATTCTGTAAGGAATAACGATACAACATGACAGATTCAATTATACCAATTGGAAAATTTCAAATAATAATAGTATAAAACTCGATATTTAATTACAAAAGATCAACTTGAAAAATGCTAAAAAAAAAAAAAACTTTTCTTACGATAACAATATAATAGTTGCCATGATAAAATAACAAGGACTTAATATCACGACGTGTTTACACAGACAAGAATGAACTGAGATGACTATTTTTTTTATCATTGTCCTTTCGTAAACCAACAAATAAGGAAAATAAGAATATTAATGGCGAAGATGTATTTCGGTCAAGGTCTATCCATCCCGCAAGCAGGTCGACAAGCAAAGTCGTGGTTATCGGGACGGAAAATAACAAAGTAACAGTAAAAGGACTGAAATAGTTCGTCGATAATAATAACAAAGAATTCTATGGCGTAAATATAGACAAAAAGAAAAATGGGATCAATGATGGTTTGACCAGTCGATTTGAATTTTTCATATTCCACTTCAAAACATTTAGCAATACGTATGTAATATTAAATCCACATCACAGTTGAAAGTCGGTAAGTCGGTCAATTTGTTAGCTCGTACAAATTGCAATATAAATTTAGGGACTATGGCTGCACGATATAAAGCTATACTTCTGCCAACAAGCGCCATCTGCGTAAAGGTAAAGCGTCGTATTTATAGTGCGTCAGCTGTACGCAATGGCATCTGTTTTTGCGATGAA